AGAATTGCAAGAAGCTCAGAATAACCAAAATCATATGGGAGGGGAAAAAATAAAACACAAAGTTAGAAGACTCACATGTCCCCATTTCAAAATTTCCTGAAACGTACAGTAATCAAAACGGTATGGTACTAATATAAGGACAGACATATAGACCAGTGGAATAGAATTAAGAGTCCAGTTTTAAACCCGAAATCTATGGCCAATTGATTTTCATTAAGGGTGCTAAGACCACTCAATGGGGGAAAGAAAAATGTCATCAACAAAAGTGCTGGGACATTTGGAAAACCACATACAAAAGAATGAAGTTGGATCCTACCTCACTCCATATACAAAAGTTAACTGAAAATGGATCAACTATCTAAATATAAGAACTAAAATATAAAACTAGTATAAGTAAACAGTAAATCTTCACGACCTCAGATTTGGCAATGCAGTCAGAGATTTGACACCAATAGTGTGAGCAACAGAAGAAAAAAACAAAGTGAACTTCATAAAAATTTGAAACTTCTGTACACCAAAGGACATTATCAAGAATGTGAAAAAACAACCACAGAAAGAGATAAAATATTTGCAAATCTCACATCTGGCAAGAGTTTAACATCTAGAATACATAAAGAAATTCCACAATGCAAGAACAAAGACAAACAACCTAATTCAAAACCAGGCAAAGGATGTACCTGGACATTTCTCCAAAGAAGACATACAAACAGCCACCAAGCATGTGAAAAGATATTAAGCATCATTGGTCACTAAGGAAATGCAAATAAAAACTTCAGTGTGATACCACTTCACACATACTATGATGGCTATAATTTTAAAAAGTGGAAAACATTCATTGCTGAGGATATGGAGAACTAGGAACCCTCTTACATTGCTGGTGGAAATATAAAACAGTGCAGATATAAAATGATGCAGCCACTGTGGAAAACTGTTTGGCAGTTCCTCAAAAAGTTAAACATAAAATTACCATATGACCCAGAAATTCCACTCCTAGGTATACATCCAAAAGAACTAAAACCTGGTGCTCAAACAAGTACATACACAAACTTGCTCACAGCAGCTATTCACTATAGCAAATAGGTAGAAACAGCCCGAAAGTCCATCAATAGATGAATGGATAAACAAACTGTGGGACAGTTGATCCTCCGTATTCATGAGTTCCATATTTTCGAATTCACCTACTCACTAAAGTTTATTTGCAAACCCAAAGTCAACACTCGTGGTTTTCACAGTCATTTGCAGACACGCACAGAACAGCAACAGATGTGAGTTGTCCAGCGCACACATCCCCAGCTGAGGTAGAACACGGCAATGTGCTGTCTTCTTGTCTCAGCTCGCCTGCTGGAAACAACTATCCTATTCACTGTATGTTTAGTGCCGTGTTTTTCACATTTTTGTGGGTTTTGCTGGTGATCTGGCTGTTTGGAATGGCCCCTAAGCACACTGCTATCTAAAGTTCCTAAGGCAAGGAGGCTGTGATGTGCTGCACGGAGTAAATACGCGTATCAGAGGAGCTTCATCAGGCATGAGTGCTAGTGCTGTTGGCCATGAGTTCAGTGTTAATGAATCAACAGTGTATATTAAATAAGGCGTCTTTAAAAAGAAACGCACACAAAACAAGGTTATGTATTGGCTGGCTGCCAAAAATGATGTGACTGGAGGCTCGCAGGAACTTAACCGTGTTTCCCCTAGGAGCAACGGTTCAGTATTTGCTAATTCAGTGTTTGCCCTCAAATAATGAGAATTGTCTGTGTATATATGCAATGCAGTAGTATTCAGCCATAAAAGGAATGATGGACTGGTACATGCTACAATGTTGGTGAACACTGAAAATGTGCTTAGTGACAGACACCAGACACAAAAGGCCCCATACGGTATGATTCCGTTTATGCAAAATGCCCAGAACAGGTAAATCCATAGAGACAGAAAGTGGATTAGTGGTTGCCAGAAGATGGGGGTTAGGGAAATGGAGAGTGATAGATACAGGAGATTCTTCTGGGGTGATGAAGATGTTTTGAAATTGGAGGAGAGGTGTTAGGTACACAATGTCATGAATGCACTAAATGCCACTGAATTGTACACTTTAAAATGGTTAATTGCATGTCATGTGAATTTCACCTCGATAAAAAAATCTCTTTACAACACATACGTATTACTTTCGTAATCAGACAAAACCCCTTGTATTTTTTTTTCCTTGGGTGAAAGAAGTGATTTATCTGTAAAAGAGCATCCTGCAAACAGGCCAAAATGAAGCCTTGGTTAAGTTCTAGTGCCTGACACTACAATTCCTTCATTTCATGGACAATGCCATATTCAAGGTCAAATGTACTAGCTAAAAAAAAAAAAGAAAAAAAGAAAAAAAGAAAAACAAAACAATAACTCACACTTACACAAGAAAATGCCGTGTCTGAGAAAGCACCTTTCTGTTCTGGTTATAGGTCCACCCCACTCACCAGAGAAGCCAAACAACATGTTTTTTGTCACTGGAACTTCAACCTCCTTTGTTCCTTCTAAAGCCTCCATGGCTCCTTTCTCCACTGAACTGTCTTGCCCAGACTGATTGGAAAGGAGCCAACACAACTTTAACAACAACAGCAAACACGAGATGCTTAGTAAGTGTTAGGCACTGGGCCCAGTGCTTTACCTACTGTCTTTCTCTGAATCTTCCTGACAACCCTGAGGAGATACAACAAGCAACCCCATCTTACAGATATAGAAACTGAGGCCCAGAGAGGTAACCTGCCTGTGGTGACACAGCCTGTTACTGGATCCGAACCCTGCTGTGTCCGTGTCCAGCCTGTGCTCTCAGCTGCTCTCTCCCTGCCCAGCCTGGACATGCTACTGCCTCCCCCAACACGACCTCGGCCACCTCCCCCTTTGCTTACCTCCTTAAAATTCAACTCACCTTACCTATGGCTGATGAGTTAAATCATGGCTAACAACCAAATGCAAGCCTTGCCTGCACTGGGGTAGAAAATGCCTCGGCAAATCCACTCACAGTGACCCTGCCTCCAAAGGTACTCTGGACCTGTATAAGCTGCTTTAGCAATTAACCAATACTTACTTTTCCACAACTGTCTGATCTTTACAAAACTTAACAAGTAGAGAGCCACATCTAGACAATATTTGCAGAACACAACACAGAAAATAATACTGTCCCTGTCACCAAGGTGTAAGTAAAAACCAGAATTTGTTGACAACTGTCGTTCGAGGTCATGCTTGTCTCAGGGAAGTAGCCAGCCTTTGTCTTGAGACAGAGAATTCTGTATTCTCAGAACAGGCTCACAGCAGAACTCTGCTCCTAGACAAATGGCCTCTACACGAATTGTTCAAATAAACACCTAGCAACATGACTTTTTTCCAAAAAGAAAAAAAAAGAAATGAAAAACTGGCCATCCTACAAAGGTTTCAAATGAAAACACATGCTGAGATTCGAAAAACCTTCTACACCTCAAATGGGAGAATTTTACTGTATGTAAATTACACCTTCATAAACCGAGCTTGAACAAAACACCTTGATCCGAAACCAGATGTTGTCCATGGACTGCTGGATGTAGCAGAGCTGGGAGCCACACACATGCCCCCTCTAAATGGGAACCTGGGGAAGTGGGACCAGGCTCGAGGCAGCACCTTGAGCCCATCACAGGAACAAGGCAACAGGCACTCCAGCAGAGCATGGGGTCTGTATTGCTCATGCAAGCACAAGCACCCCCCCCCCACTCCCCAAATAAAGCCCTAAGGGAATTCAGAAAACACCTTCAGAAAGGGCCTCATCTGCTGTCTCGATGCCCCGGCACAGGTGAGGACACTGAGCTCAGCAGTGCCCATGTGGCTGCAGACTTGGCCCCTGGGCAGGGCAGGAAAATCTGAGTGTCAAGGACCAGACAGGTGTTAGGGAATACAAAAAGCCTCACTGGCCTGTGGATCCCCAAACTGCTTCTGAACCTAAAAGGAACTTAACCTAAGTCAACTGAGAGGTGAGTTCTAACTGGCCACAGGGACTGTGTGCCATAACTGCCACTACAGAACGCCACTACCCAGGGCTTGCTGAGCGCCTACTGCAGGTGGAATCGGGAAGCTCCTCTACCATCCCAGAGGGGGCTGCTGTTATCACCCCTTCCACATGCTCACCAAAGGGGGCTCAGGGAGGCCAGGCACACACCTGCCACTGGACGTGCAACCAGGAGGTCACCTGCAGAAGGGCTTGGCTCTTCTCCCTATGGTGGCTGGTTGCCCAGACTATGGGGCCTTGATTCCAAAAAAGCTTCAGAATGACCCAAGTTTCCGTGAACACGACCCCGGGAGGCCTTGCGCCTGCAATGGCTGTCAGTGCCCAGGGAGCAGCATTCCTAGGGGACTTGGGGAACAGTGGAATTCCTGCCACATGTCTCCGGCATGGACAGGTATAAACAAGGGACTTGTCAGGCAAGCAGGGCAGCATCTGCAGGCTGCCCAGGGAGACCACCTCCCTGAAAGACGGCAGCTGCCTCCTTGCCAGTCTAGCTGCACTTGTGCAAAAGCAGCCGGCTGTGGCCGAGCCACCCCTGGGCCAGGAAATGCCACCACTGGCTCCTTCGTGACGCCTGTCAGGAGGAGCAGAGGCAGGTAGCAGGGGCAGACTTATTTTTAATTATTGGGTGGAAAAAAAGAAGTTTAGAAACTACAGGTGGAAGGATATAAAACAGAACTCCTCTGCAATCCTACCACCTAGATTACCCTTGTTAAAATTTTTTTTATTTCACTTTTCTCTAAATATTACACATATAACTTGCTTCTTTCATTCAACAATATTAAGAACTCTTTCTCCTGCAGGTTGAGATGGAAACGGGCATGTTCCCAGCAGCACTCTGGCAGAAACGTCTGTGCTCACAGGGATTGGAGTACTCGGCACCCGTGGGTCGGCCAGCTCTATTTCCTCCTCTGTGACCTGCCATGGCATCCCCTGCCCAGACGCCTCCTCTGGGATGTGTGTCCTGCTTACTGCCACTCCAGGAGCCTACCTTGTTTTTGAAGTGCACCTCAATGGGCATGATGAAGCCAGCGTAGCCCGACTCTTCCACCTTGTATGGGGGCTCCTTGCATACTAAAAAGAAAGAGAAATGCATCCGTCAGCTTCCTGCCCCTGCAAAGGCCCAGCCCCCAGCACAGCAGCACGTACCCCGCCTCCCCTCCCCCCCACACACCCGGGCTCGGCTGGCCTCCGGAGGCTGAGCTCCCCGGGAGAGTTGAGTCCCATGCTAAAGGGGTCCCCAGGAACAGAAGGGGAAGTGCAGAGCAGAGGAAAGGTGACCCTGCCATCAGGGTGTTCAGCAGCAGAGCAGGAAGGGGTATCGGACTCTCACCCAGGGAGCACTTGCTCCTGCAGCAGATGAGGAGACTAAGGCCACAGGCAGCCGCACAAGCTCAACCCACGCTGGTCAGGCAGGGCAGCGACCAGGTCCAGCACATAACCAGGGACACGCACACTGGGAGACGGAGGATCCCAGGCTCAGCTGGGACTCTCCTCCCAGTGATATGTGAACAGAACCTCAGTAGCCCCCGAGATTAAAAACACAAAACCAAACCAAATTGAAAGGAAGAAGAACAGCAAAGTATTCATGAAATTATCTCCCACAAGCTCATCCTCCAGAATAAAGTCTCAATGATACGTACACTGTCTTGATGCGAGACCCAGGAAAAAGTTGCTCTCCCACTTTTAAGAAAAAAATTAGAACAGTGAAGATCAGATCCCTGATCCTCCACCCCTCCTTCTCTAGAGACAAACACTATTGGGGGATAGGAGAAAATCCTGCCAATTGTTTGCAGGGTTTTCAGACCACTTTATTGAGCTACGATTGACATATAAAAAACTGTCATATCTAAAGCACACATCTCGATGAGTTTGGAGATAAGTAAACACTCTTGAAATCATCACCAGCATCAAGGCCATAAACATATCCATCACCTCCCAAAGTTTTCCACCATCCTTTGTTAATGGTTTTTTTCCTAAGAACATTTAACATAAGATTACTCTCAGCAATTTTAGTATACAGTACGGTCTCATTAGCCACAGGCACTATGTTGTTTAACAGATCTGCAGAACTGATTTATCTGGCATAGCTGATACCTTTTGATTATTACCTCCATACTCCCTTCCCCCAGCCCATAGCAACCACCGTCCTGTTCTCTACTTTAATGAGGTTATTTTAAATTCTACCTATAAGTGAGATCATGAAGTATTTGTCTTCTGTGTCTGGCTTATTTCACTAAACAATATGCCAACTGCTAAAGACCTTTATACACATACGTCTGTCTGCACTAGTAAGGTAATTCTTATGTGGGCCAAAAATTGCTGTAAAACAGTTAACGGAACATAATGAAACCTGATTTTTTAAATTAAAACCATAAGATTTTTCTTAGAAGAAAAAGTCTCTCAAATATCTGCCTTGTGTATCTCACAGATCTATCCAAACAAAATTGGCAAGCAGGGTAGGTTTGGAGTGACTTGGGGACGCTCTCAGGAGGGGCTGGCTAGATAGCCTCGCATGGGACCCCAGTGTGCAAATGGAAGTGGGGCAGGGAGGAGGCTTATGCCCACCTCCTATAGCTCCCGCTGGTCCTAGAAACTGGAGCTGCAGAGACAGACACAAGGGCATGAGCCCAGCTGGGCTCTAGGCCCATTCCCAAGGTTCCCTCCATACCACCTCCTTCCTTCCCCTCCTTCAAAGCTGAGCTCAAGTCCCTGCCACCACTCCCCCAACCCACCAGCTGCCTATTCGTCCCTACAGTAGACCCCCCTCCCCTGCCATGAGAAGCTTCTGGAGGGCAAGACCTTGCACACAGCTGGTATGCAAGGCTTGTTCCACTGGACTGAGTTCCCCGCTGGGGGAGGGGCACTCCTGAGATGGCCATGGGACCTGCTGTAGCAGAGCCTCCCAGGGGCCAATAGAGCCCCAGCTGCCTCTGCTGGGCGCTGTGAACACTGTCGCCTGATGTCAGGGCCTGCAGTGAATCATGACTGCTACCAAACACAGCAGGGACAGCACTATCCATCCGTTCACTTACCCACTCCATCTGTCTGTCTCTGGCAGAGTCAGGGGCTGGGATGACAACACAGGCCAAGCGGACACCTCGGGCCCCTTTTAGCTTACTCCTGGCAGAGTCCTCACCTCACACCTGCCTGCAGCACAACTCTAGATCAACAGGGAGAATCTGCGGCCTGGGAAAAGCTGTCCCAGGGAGCCTTAGTCCCAAATCTCTCCTCTAGCCATCTCCTTGCTCCCCGGACGTCCTCCCACCGATGCTGGATTGTGACTCCAAACCAACTCCTCATACCCCTCCTAAATCTGTAGCTCAGGACCAGGCTGCCCACCACACACCCAAGGACCTGTGGTCACCTGACTTCTTTCCTGAAGTTCCCCTGTCACCAAGCACTACCAAGTCCACCCACTGCCCTGCCCCTGCCCAGTGCCTCACAAGCCATCCTGCCTCAGGCTCACTCCTGGGTCACCAGAACGATCATGTCAATCACAAACCTGACCATGGCACCGCACATGCTCCCCACTGCCCTCGGGATAGACTTCGCACAACTCAATGCAGCCCACAAGATGTTTCACCACCTTTAGGCTCAGCTCTTGGCAGGCCAGCCTGAGGCCCCACGTTCCAGCCACACTGAGCCTCGTAGATCACAGATAACTCCCTACAGGACCCCTGCTTTGAGTCCTCCACCCCCACCAGGGCACGGTTCCTGCCCACAACTCCCCAGATCCTGGGCTGCTCAACCACAGGACTCTCCATGCCTGTTCTACCCATTTTCCTCCAGACCACTCCCAAAGCCTGGACCAGGGACATGACACCTGCTTTTGAAAGCATTCAATGAGTATCTGCCAAACACTGCTAAGAGTGCCATGTGCCGAGCCTCCATCAGGTGCTCCTGGGACAGGAAATACACCTGAATAGGGATCAATTCCCTCAATCCTGTCTAAGCAGAGAGAGGAAGTGGGGTCTTGCCAGCTGCCTATGAGCTGCCTGCCTGGTCCTTTGCAGACCCCCACCACCAGGAGTAGTCTACAGTCTGCTCTCTGTGCCCAGAGGCTAGCACAGCACTGGGCACCTGGCAGGTACCCAAATACTTGTTAACTTCATCTGAACCTAGGAAGGAAAGTGGAGATGGAGCAGAGGACGGGTGGCTGGGAACTTACTCACAGACTCCACCCTCTGCCTCACCTCCTCCCCACTCACCCCCAGTCCAAATCCCAACCAGCCACAAAAACCCATGCCAGTACCACCTCCTAGTGGGGACAGACCTGGCTTCCCTTGGCCTCTGACCTCCAGGTCACCTGCTTCTGCTGAGGGCAGTCTTCTTTTCAAATCTACCTGTCCTGTCTTGGCTCGCAGCCCCCATCAGACTGCACACCATTCAGGGAAAGGATCCGTCCTATGTTTCTCAGTCTCTCTCTGAAGGCCTCTGGAAATGTCCATCCCTGCAGAGATGGCCTAAAGGGACAACAGTCTGCCAAGTAAAGAGTACAGCTTCTAGGCCGACAGGGGAGACCAGATAGACGTGCTGGCCTGCAGCACCCCCAGAGAGCCCACAGGAATCAAACATGACATGAAATAAAGGCAAGAAAGCGAAGAGGGGAGGGAAGAAACACGAGCCATGACAAACTCCTGGAAGGCAGGCTGGGCACTAGGGCACACTGGGCCACAGGCCAGGATGAGGAAGTGCAGCCCAGAGTTTGCCATGGGGTGCTGTAGGGCACGGGGGGAGCCCACTTGGTGCCAGACACAGAAAGGCCTGGGCCACGGTTTGTTGGGCTCAGTGGAGAGCCGGAGTGAGAATGAAAGGTGGGGGAGGGAGAGGGAGGCTGAGCAGGGAGTGGCTGCTAATGGTGGCCTCGGCGTTTGTCTTTAGGGTGACAGAAATGTTCTGGAATCAGACAGCGGTGATGGCTGCAGAACTTTGTGAATATACTAAAAACACTGAATTGTACACATTGGATGTGTTGAATTTTATGGTGTGCAAATTATATCTCAGTAAGGCAAGGTTTTTTGGTTTGTTTGTTTTAAGGCAAACGGAAAGGCTGTATTCGCAACAGCCCTGGGGATCCCTCCCTCCTACCTACCCCCACCCCAGGCATAGGCAGTTTCAAGTTTCCCTCTGGGGAAATCCAGATGGTTCCATGTCATGAGAGAAGAGACGACTGTCTGGAGGAAGCAGAAGCTTACAGAGTAAAGCCCTCCTCATTTAGGAAATTGGGAGGCTTGTGAACATCAAGCCTGCTGGTGAACAGACCCCACCACGCCATAAACAGAGTAGAGTGTTCAAAAAGAATTCCTACCTGGACAGCTTGAGGAAACAAAAATAATTTGGAGACCACAAGAGAACTTTGAAAAAAAAAATAAAAAACAACCCACCAGAGTCAATGTCCTCAGATTCAAGGAGACAGACTAATGAAAACAAGAAAATTTGAGGGCTGGCCACTTAGCTCACTTGGTTAAAGCGTGGTGCTGATAAAACCAAGGTCAAGGGTTTGGATCCCCATGCCAAACAGCCACCAAAAAAAATAAGGATAATTAGAGAATAAGAAAGGACTCCTAGATATTATGAATAAACACTTATAGTTTTTTAATTCAAAAGAAAGACTAGAAAATAAAGAAAATCTCCCAAATAGTAGAGCAAAAAGATACATTTTTTTAAAAAGGTGAGACATGAAGAAATGGTTCAGCAGATTAAATGAAAGCTGATGGCAGCGAACATGTCTCAGCACCTGCTGTGTGTCAAGCATGGTTCTCATATTAGTCCTCACAACAATCTTATGAGGCAGATATAATTATTCTCATTTTACAGATGAAAAAATTGAGGCATACAGAAGTTATGTAATAGGCATCCCGGAAAGAGGAAACAGAGAAAATAAATACAGGTTGAGTATCCCTTATCTGAAATGCTTGGGACCAGAAGTATTTCAGATTTCAGATTTTTCCAGATTTTGGAATCTGTGCAGAATCATACCAGTTGAGCATCCCTGGAAATCCGAAATCCAAAATGCACCAATGAGCATTTCCTTTTCAGTGTCATGTCAGCATCCGAAAAGTTTCAGATTTTGGAGCATTTCAGATTCCAGATTTTTGGATTAGAGATATTCAACCTGTAGATGGAAGGAAACTGTCAGAGAAATAGAAGAAAACTTTCCAGAGGTAAAATGAAGGACACCAAATATCACAAAACACAATCATGAATAACAACAACAAAAATCCCATAATGCTGGGCTGGGCAGTTAGCTCAGTTGGTTACAGTGAAGCCTTATAATATCAAGGTCACAGGATCAAATCCCCATTCTGGCCAGCTGCCAAACACATTTTATTTAATTAAAAAAAATTTTTTTTAATTTAAAAATCCCATATATCGACAAAATAAAATTTAAAAAATAAATAAATAAATAAAGGGATCTTTATGCTCTTGAAAAAAAAAAATCCCATAATGTCACAAAACAATGTCATAAAAATCATCCTAAATGCTTCTAGAGAAAACAAAAAACAAAAACAGGCCACCTGTAATAGAACGAGAATGCAACAGCATGAGACATTACAGAAGCAATGCTTTCAAATGTTCTAAGTGATAGTTATTCTCAGACTGAAATATTGCATCCGACTCAACTATCATTCAATCCAGAGAAGAGGATAATGGCATTTTCAAACATGCTTGGATTCGAAGAGTTTACTGCCCACACATCTTTCTAAGAAAATTTCTTAAGTAATTAATCTCTTGGGATATTACTTGAGAAACTGCTCTAGTGAAGCAAGAAAATAAACCAAAACACGGGGCGATAAATAAATCCCCCCAGAACACTAAAGGAAAGGCCTAGGATGATGGCTAACGAGGTGGCCTCGAGAAGAGCCAATCCTGATTAGAGAAGGAAGGTGGAGAGAACCAGATTGAGTATTCAGGGGACGGGGAAAAAAAACAAAACAAAACCCTGCAGAATAAATGAAATGATTGGGAGGATGGGAAAAAACGAAGATATGATGAAGACAATGCAAAAAAGAGCAGCAAAAGTGTTATAAAATTCACAGCCCAGCCAGACCCAGTTAGTTCAGCTGGTTAGAGTGTGGTATTGTAACACCAAGGTCAAGGGTTCCAACCTCCTTACTAGCCAGTTGCCACAAACAAAAAATCACAGCCCAAACATAAAGTAAGCTAAAACAGGGCTGGACTTTAGCCAAAAATGATCAGAAAGAACCCATCTGACCTTGGCATGACCTAGAGCATGACCCAGAGTTCAGGACCTGGGACACAGAGAGGCTGAATGAAATCCTGGCATTCCAACCAGCCTCATGTCAATGCCATTTACTAGTTTCCGACTTTTACAGTCAATCTACGATCCTGAAGTGAAGGTCTTGGTTTCAGTTCAACAACCTTAACAATGTCAAGTGTAGCTAGCAAAAGGAGCATAGGGCAAGTTCAAGGAAAGACAGGGTGCTCATGTCCTTATCTTCCTGAGTGGACAGTCCCAAGACATTGACAAAAGGTGACAAGGTGGAAGAATCCATTCATTCATTCAACAAATACTTAGTAAGCACCTGTTGTTTATCCTTGCAGGCACTGGAAATGTAGCAACAAACAAAACAGACAAATCTCTTGCTGGGGAAGGGGAGAGATGGACAAGATAAATAAATATTCAGAATATGTTAAGATAATGCTATGGAGAAAAATAAAACAGAAAAAAGGCTAAGAATCAGATGGCTGTGTGGTGTGAAAAAAGTGGGGGGGAAAGGGGTCATTTGGGATAAATTCCAACCTTTCATGCTGATTAATCAACAAGCATTGTTTACATCTGAAAAATCAAGAAATACAAAGCAAATTAGCTGGTGTTAAGAACACAATCCAGACAGTGCTAGAAAGATTGCCCCAGTGGCAAGACTGGTGAGGAGATAGGAAATGGAAACTTTCTACCAGTTCTGTTTGATTTGTTATAATGTGTGTACAGTTGATGTAAAAGATACTTTTTAAGTGCATAAAGTATCATTTCAGAGGCTGGAGTCCTCCAAGAAGTCCACTCCCTCTCTAAGTGGGCAGACTTTTACTCAATGCAACAAATAGCAAAGTCGGTTATCTACACGTTGATATATTTGATGCAGCTGCTGGCTGCCCTGTGTGTACAGGCTGCAGACAGACTCCGCAACCAACAAGACCCAGATACTACCCTGAAGGCTGCTCATGACTGGCCCTGGAGGACAGTGAGCCCCACTCACCACCCTGCTATTCAGATACTTGGAGCTCACAGAATGTGCCATTTCTACATGACCTTGAGCAGGCACCTGGGCCACTCTGAAAGCTCCTCTTCCACGTCTAACTCAAAAGGATTCTAAGAGGCCACATATATCAGGGTTGTCACCAGGGACACAAAGCATGGCACAAGGCATGGAGCACAAGCGTGATGTATGCAGACTGCTATTGGTATGACTTCTAGTAGCTGCCTGGTTACAGACATGGTGGGGAACAAAGCTGAAATACGCGGTGTCAAAATGGATGGACATCACCATCCTGGGCCCATCCCTGTGCCACACAGACAGAGAAAGGAGAGAGGAGAGAGGACGGGGAGGGGGATGGGGAAGGAGAACTGGGGTGGATGCTGCCAGAGAAGGCAGAGAGGGCCCAGCCCAGGACAGGGAGGCAGTCATGGCCTCCACGCCACCATTATAGCGTGAGAGCAGCGACACCTAAACAAACGAGCATGGCCACATCCAGTAACAGCAGCAGCAGCTGCCCAGCCCCCAGGCCACAGGATGCTCAACTGGTATGATTCCACACAGATTCCAAAATCTGGAAGGCACAGGCAGCTGACCAGCCCCTCTGAACCCATTTTCGCATCTATAAAAGAGGCTGTGGTGAGAATGAAACATGATCCTGCATAGGAAAAGAGCTTAGCAGAAAGTGCTCGATAAATGGCATGTACTCGTATTATTAAGAGGTGCTCTATACATATGTGCCATCCTCTGAGAGGCTTAAAAGGAAGAAAGAAAAAGGGGAGAAGGTGGAAACTCAGGAAAGGAAAAAAGGAGGGGAGAGAATAGCCAAAGGCTGATGGAAGAAACCAAAAGAAGAGAAAGGGCTCCTACATCACTAGGAATCTCGAGTGGACATCCCTTCTGGAATGGGGCAGAAACCACAGGTTCCTACTTATGTAACACGGGCCATGTCCCCACTAGATTGTGAGCCATGTTCAGGCACAGGGCTAGGCACCCACACCTGGTGTGTCCACGACATGCTTCTGTTCAGTTGAGGCCATCCCCACTTGTGCACGGCTCAGCCTTCGTGGCCCCGAATCCCCATAGTGCCACATGAGAGGTCAGCAGCCCAGCTTCCTCCCCACCCTGAAGCAATTCACTACAGAAAATCCTTCATTTCTGTATCAACATATCCACTCAAGAAATATTTATTGCCCGTGGTGTGCCGGGCCCTGGGCTTCATTCACACTGGGGACTCAATGGTGAGAAAATCAGACCCAAACCTGGCCCCGGACCCTACAGAACTCACAAGACAGCCACCAACTTGTTCCCAAATTCCCCACTAAAGCCTTCCCCTGGGATCGGCTCACTTCCCCATGAAGTTGTCTCTGATCATAAACTGGGTGAGTTCCCACCTCTCTGCCCCATCAGACTGTGTCCTGCAGGAAGGCTGAGGCCACCTGGCCACAGATGGAGACACTGGCAGGACACATGGGCGAGGTACCTGTGCTTACTGCAGCGAGCAGTATGGAGTAGGCAAGCAAGACACGTAAAAGACTGCAGTGATGTGAGCTCCTTTGATTCTTTCTGCCCCAGATATTATGAATGCCTAAGATGGGACCTCTAATCAAACGTGGGCCCAGTAGGCAATTTCCAGATGATTCCCCGGCTAGGTTCAAGCCACCCTGCCCATCTACTAGCAACTGGCTATGTTTTCTTACTGCTTCTCAGATCCCAAGTCTAAATCATGACATGACAGACTGTCATACCTCTGTTCAGTGTTTCCTATGACTGACTGAACAGCTGGAGGAGACACGCTCTGCGCACTCCTCGTGGGAAAGGATGGGGAGGACCATCTTACCAGGCCACAGTGGGCAATGTGTAACTGGCACAAAAGAACAAGAGAGCCTGTGGGTCCCACTGCTCCCAGGGAAGCAGATGAAAACAGGCCTTTGGAGAAGTGAAGTCTAATGGATTAGTGTTGCAGGGACGCAGGGCTCGGGGCCACTCACCACGTCTGGGCTTGGGGAAGCTGTCATGCAGCCAGAAGACCACCTTCTCCACGAAGTGCTGGATCTCACATTGCTCGGGGCCGCGGACAAACACCATCCAGTCGTGGGTGAACCCCTCCGTGGTGGGCTTCTTGCGCAGTTGGGCACGGTGTCCCAGCTCTAACTTGACCTGCACGGTACACTGGAGAGGAAGAAAGATGTGGGGACAGGGTCAGCACAAAGCCCAAAGCAGGGGACTGCCAGCTGCCCTGCCTCCTCACCTACAGAGCACTTTCAGCACTGGACACGTGAAATAAAAACCACTGAGCAGTGTGATGCACTTCCAAACCAGAAGCAGGATGCACATAGACCACTTCCAGGTGCTTCCAGCACACCAGCGCCATACTGAGAGCTCCGCACATCCTCTCCTCTGCTAGCCCACATGGCCCCGCGGCTCCTCCTGACCTCCCCATCCTATTCCACCTGCATGCCTCTTCTCCAGCTCGTTCCTGCCTCTGGGCCACAGCGCCTGCAACTTCCTCTGCCTGGGATGCTTTGCCTGAGACTTTCCACGCTATCTCCTTCACATCACTGAGCTCTTGCTCTCGCCTCCACTTTCACCTCCATGGGAAGCCTTCCCTGACCACACAGTCCAAAAGCACCCAGCACCACCCCGTCACTCTTCACCAAGTCGGATGCTTTCTGCACTATCAGAAATCATCCTGCAAGGGCCGGCCTGTGGCTCACTTGGGAGAGCGTGGTGCTGATAACACCAAATCAAGGGTTTAAGATCCCCTTACTGGTCATCTTTTTTTTAAAAAAAAAAAAAGAAAAGAAAAGAAAGAAATCATTCTGCAGGGGGCTGGCTGGTGAGCTCCATTGGTTAAAACATGGTACTGTAACACCAAAATCAAGGGTTGGGTACCGGGCAGCAGCCAAAAAAAAAAGAAAGAAATCATCCTGCTCTGCTCTAGTGTCAGCTCTTTGGGGGCAGCCCCTTGTCCAGAGCTGGAATCTCCACCAGGATCTCAATGGATACAGCTCTGTAACCCAGACTGCAATTACCTTGTTTCATAAGGAAGGAAATTGAAGGGCCGGCCCGGTGGTGCACTGCTATAGTGCGCCGCTTGGGAGCGCTGCAGCGCTCCCGCCGAGGGTTCGGATCCCACATACAGACTGGTTCCCGCTCACTGGCTGAGCGAGGTGCGGGAGCAACACCGAGGGTTGCGATCCCGTTGCCGGTCCCGGTCTGGTACGGGCACGACACTGAGGGTTGCGATCCGTTGCCAGACACGAAAAAAAGACAAAAAAAAAAAGGAAGGAAATTGAAGCTCTGAGAGGTAACTGCCATGCAAGGTCACTCCGCTGATGAGAAGCAGGGACTAGGTTCTAGCCTGGCTCTGTGTCACCAGGAAGGAAATTGAAGCTCTGAGAGGTAACTGCTGAGAGGTACACATGCAAGGTCACTCCGCTGATGAGAAGCAGGGACTAGGTTCTAGCCTGGCTCTGTGTCACCCAAGGGCTGGCTCCCCTGACCACTCTGTCCTCTCACCTCCCTGAGTGGCCTAAGCTCCGTGACTGGAGCATTTCCATCCTCATGCATCCTACACGATGCGCCTCCAGGAGCACGGAGGCCCTTGTCACTCCCCTAAGTGATCAGCAAAAACACTGTCTTTCAGTTTCAAAAGCAGAACGGTGGTTCCCAGTGAGAATGGAGAGGCAAGCATGCAGCCCATGGGGACAGACCCCAGGTGGACTGCAGCCTCGAGGCCAACCTCCCGCCCTCTGCACATGTCTGACACTTCACTCTCAAGTATAAAGCAGCTTGGGCCGATCCACTCCACTGAACACAAAGCCACATGCCTTCAAAGCACTCAACACCTAGGCTGGCCAAAACCACTGACAGGGAGCCACTGTACACATCCACTCTGGTTTGTGAAAACCTCCCCAGACTTTGAATAGATACAGCCTTGACACCTAGTATCAAATACAAGAATGTTACAAAATAAGGCAGAGGCCACGTGGACACTTGTTCTAAGTGCTGAGATAACCAGGAGTGAGTCAGTTCCTGGTAAGTGTCCCACACTTCCCAAGTGCACCTCCCACATGTGAGGCTCCTAAGGCTCTCCTGCATGGAGCTGCCCTCCCAGGCCCAGACCAGGAAGCTCTCACCTGTGCCTTTTGACCTTCTCTCTCAACACCTGACCTCAGGCATCCCTGCAGCTGCAATCCCCACATATCTGTCTCTTCTCTGCAATTCTGAAGCCCCCTTTCAGACCCCCGTCACCTGATTGTGCCCGGGCTCGACTGGCCTCCCTACATCTCTACTCTGTCACTGTGGTGAAAGCAGGGCAAACAGATCCTACTGTCCCCACCACCATCCCCTTTTAAAGCTTTTGCTGGTCAGCCAGTCCCTCAGAATAAAGTCAAGCCCCCCAGCACACCTCCCCCTCCCACCTGTGCACTTCCTCAGGTCTGAGATGCCCATCTTTTTTCACACTTCTACCCCTTTGAAGTCAGAATGCATACTGCAGCCCACGTGTAAGCTTCACATTTTGAGGGTCCCCCGTGTGTGCGTGCACGCGCGCGCGCGCACGCACACACACACAACACACACTGATGTTACTGAGTTAGCGGCATGTCTTCAAGACCCAGAACTGAGGAAATGCAGGAAGTGCACACCCTCTGTTCCAGCTCCACCAGCCCAAAACACATCGGGAACGTTCACCCTGCTCCTTTGATTCTGCTGGTCCCGCAGCCCGAGGTGCCCAAAACTCATTTCTCTGCTGATCAAAATTCTACTCATCCCTTAAGTCCCAGCTCAAGTGCTACTTTCCCCAGGGCCCTTTCCCATTGCTATGCTGGAAATCGATCATCCCCTCAGAGTGTGATGGCCCCGCGGTCCCCACGGCAAGCGGCCCCCACTCCTGGGTCATTCACTGCTGCCCCCCAGGGCAGGGTAAAGTGTCTGAGAGCAGGGACCACATCTTGGGTGTCCTTTTCACTTCTACCTTGGAACCACAGTACACAAGGCACCAACAACATCAGATTAGTTAAATCAGAGGGCCTTGTAAGTCAGAGAGTTAGTTCTAAGTAGTGCTTTCCAAGAGGGAAGGGCCAAAGGGGCAGCAGATAAGGACAGGGTGGTTCCAGGGTATGGAAAAGCTGGTGAGAGGCCTAGGGCTCTGAGTATTTAGCAAGCCAGGTAAAACAAAGGGCAGAAGTACACAATTTTTATTTGTCTATTTAAAAAATTAATTAATTGTAAGAAAAGAAATAGGGCAGAAAGAGTTCCCCTGGCTCAGGATAATTGTCCCTTTGGGGCTCCATGGGAAAAGAGAGCAGCGACTCAGTAGGGATCAGGGAGCCTGGAGGGAGGGGCTGGATTGGGATGGAGCATCCAGATGGGACATGACAGCAACAATGACCAGTTATAAGCGGATGACAGTACAAGGAAACAGGACTGGAGTACAAGTCCCTGGCGATCTGGGTACAGTCTGGGCTAAAGGCAGAAGAGGACAAACAAGGAAACAAGCAGCAAAAAACAAACAGCAACCAGAGGGAATGGCTGGAAAAGGAGGCAAACACAGCCCGAGATGGGAGAACTGGCATGATCCACGGGTGAAAGAGATTCGAAGAACCCCAAGATCCAGGTAGCAGGGATGCTGACAACGCCAGTGACAGCGGGGGTGGGGGTGGGGGGGTGGACAGGAGAATCAGGTGCACTCACAAATCCCAGGCACTGAGGATTTATTTACATGGAATTCAGGTGGAAATACCCTACCACAAGCTAGCGATGAGGGACTAAATGTCTGGATAAACAAGTAATACTCAAATCAACCCATGAGCATCTATTTGAATAATGCTGCCTATGGAGAATGCTCAACAAAAACAAACCCAAAACAATATTTACATTATCCCTGATAGGCTGTAATCATCGTATTCACTGACATAGGTCAGCCTCTGCCTTTCTGTCTGCCCTGTTTTCAGAACAAGAAGCAGGAAGACAATCCCCGTGTTGCTGGGAGGGTCACAGGTGAAAACTAAATACATCTCATCATAGCAACAACACTACACTGGAAAACGACTTCTGCCTCGACTCAACGTAGAGACTGTCTCCACGGATTCACTTATTCACCAACCTGGCTGCTAAGACCTGGGCTGACTTCCCGGCATTTTTGATGACACGGAGTTCCTACCCCCGGCACACAAGCGGCAGAGCAGTTATTGTGAAAGAACAGAAGACCACAGCTCTATGGGAGACAGGGAGAACGTTAAGCACCAAAACTACTCTGCGGAGGCCAAAGTAAACAGGAAGGTTCTGAGGCAGCAATGGGTAATCTTCGCAGCAGGCAGCCTGCGCCCAAAGCACCGCCCAGGCGACATCAATGCCCTGGGGGCTGGCGCCAACTCCAGCCTCAACACCCCCAGTTGAGGGTGCGCCACAGACTCAGCCATCAGATTCAAGGCTCCAGTGCCCAGCGAGACACACTCCCCTGAATGCTGGAATCTTCTAAGAAATAAAGATGGTGGGATAACACAGAATCTGTGCCACTGTGTTAAAAACAGAATCACAGATTCCATAAGACACTGAAGCTACATTAATTGGAGGCAAGCAAGCTGAACCCTGGCCAACCACTTTGACTTGTCAAGTCATGATAATTTATTAGCACAGCTAAGCCAATTCCATAGCCGAGGGTTATACCCCCTCCTTCCTCTACTCCACCTGGACTTCTTCCCTGGCCATTAGAACCAAAGAACTGAAGCAAATCAAGTGCTGTTTCTCCGGGAAGGGTGCCTAGCTAAAGAGGTTAACTGACAGGTTAAGTTCAAGACTCCCTTGGAATGAATGAATCTCGTTTGTTGGCACAGCTGTCAAACTTTCCCCCAACTTTCCCCAGTGGCTGTTTCAATCCCAGCTAGTTCCTTCAACACACCAGGACCCCCTGCTGTTTGGAGGCCACCCTGCAGAACCCCCAGAATGGATTGCTGGAAGCCACCGCGGGGACTTGGTATCAGTGACTGCCATTTCCCTGCACCTTTGGGGATCATCCTGCCACCCATTCTCCACCAAAAGCCCAGAACAAAGGGGGAACATTCCAGGCCCATCCCCAAAAAGTGTTAGCCATTTTACTTCTGGAAAACCATCTGAAAGACAGCAGATGGACAGAGCGGCGCAAGGGCCCCGAGGGACATCTGGGGACAGTTAAGCTTGGGCAGAGGGCCACAACTGGGACACTGCCCTTTTGCCAGGCCAGCTGGCAAAGGGCACTTGGAACCAAAGGGCCAGAATCCTAAATCCTGCAATCAGGCAAACAGAACCTTGAAGAGTTTCCCCAGCACTTTTTCACTAAATGGTATAGATCTCTCGGGCCACAACTGGGACACTGCCCTTTTGCCAGGC